AAATTCCCATATAGTAAGAATATTTTTTAGTTCTAAATTAGTAAATACTCTAATTGAAGAAAATATAAGTGGAACATCTACCTGAATAAATAGAGAAAATTGATGAAATTATAAAAAGAGACACTGCCCGAGGGAATATATAGAGCAATAAGATAAAAGTGAAAGTTTGAACTAAGATTGCATAGGGCCTAAAGTAAGTAGATTTTATGACTGCATTAAGACTATGTACTTATGAAAATATTAGATTATATTACTGATCTATGAATTTACTAAAGCATATGATGATTTAAGTGAAATTATGTAAATGAGATTTCAAATGTGAATTTGTTTTATGTGTATCACCCACCTAGTATGGGTCGGGTTCCACCTACATTATGTTAGGGAATCATTGTGACTATATTCTGCTATTAATGTATTTTGGGTGTATGCTAATCAGTGTGTACATACTCTGTCATTTTAGTATTTCGAGTAAGAGAATCAGTGAAAGTAATAAGTGTGTTCCTAGACATAATATAGTTGGACAATGTGGGTGAGTGACCTCCATAATGGTGATGCTAGTATAGCTCGTTATGCAATGTAACACTATGATTTTGATTTTGTGAATAACATTTATTAAAGTATGTAAGATATATATATTTTTAATGTGTGCGAAAAGTTATATATATATATATATATAACATGTATTAAGCTATGTTGTCATTGTTTTTTGTATTGAGATTTTGAACCTTACTCTCCTGTCACCTTTCAAATACTAAGGAGACCGCTGCAGAACAACTAGTGATATGAGAGGAAGTTTTGGAAGTTAGACTATGAAATCAAGGTTATTATTTTGTTTTGTATTTGTATTGTAATGTAAGAAAAATTTTAGAGTCTCACACTCTATATTTCAGTTGTACATAATCAAGGGAAGTAAATGCTTCTTCATATTTTTGTATTAATAAATTTTGTTGTTTATCTAAATTAAGTGTAATATGTGCACCGACCATTCCCCTATAAGAAAGGGGGTGAGCCGACACAAATAAAATAAAATGTTACAGAGACCATAATGGTACTTAGGCCATTAGACATATATGGTATAAACAAACTTGAGTACTAGGCAAATTGTTTCTCATTTTGCCAATTTTGGAAAAATAAATGAATGCGTTGTCAATCCTAATCTACCCTGGCTACATTTCGTATATTATATATATATATAACAAAAATATTAATGTATTTATTATAAATTTCTATATATATATAAACATACCCAAATTGGTTTCATATTTATTTGTGTGAAGGTATACATACAAACCTATGGATGCACTTAAAGTCATTTAACCTCCATCTCCACCTACCAAAAGCTTAATAAAAGATCCATGAAATCCTCTAAAATCCCTAAAATCTCTAAATCAACTCTTGTCACTCTTTATCAATTCAGTAATATTCTACCTTTTTTTTAATACATCTCCATGAGAGATCACTCATATCTTTTCTGATCAAGTTTTTAGTGTTCAATTACGTTTCGAGTAACTAGGGTATGTATATTCGAGTAAAATATATAAATATGATATATAAGTTTTCTCTCTAATTGCAGTAAATTTATTTATTTCTTATCATCAATGATCTTTTTTATGTAAAAAGATGTTTGTGGTCCTTGTCTTGACTCCATCTCAATTTCGTGATAGATTTAACGTAATTTTTTTATTTTATATATTACTTAAATTACTCTTTTATATGAATGAGTTTATCTATATCCATATTTACGTAAATAGATATATAGATACATGGACAAATACCATCAATTTTATAATCCTCATTTTTTTGTTTGTATAAAATCTAATATAATGCTAGCTAATCTCGATAACTAATCACTTGATTGCTTATTGTCACGATTGATTTTTTCTTACCCGATAATGTGTATGCTAGCATCCACAATATGTTGGTTGAGTTTTTCGCATACATTTAAGCATAGGCCATGAGAATGCTTTAATTCACGATTGGTTTAGGGAGTTTCATGGTCTAATTATTGACAAATTGTTAAATTTTTTTTTGTTTATTATCAACATACCTAAATGGATTTGTTTATTTATATCGATGTACCTAAATAGACAAATGCATGGATAGACAATCTTCAAATTTTTTTTTTTTTGTTTGCAATAAATCTAATAATGCTAGATAATCTCGAAATCTAATCTCTTAATCGTTTATTCTCATTATTGATTTTTTATTTTTACCTAATAGTATGTTTCCTAGTATCAACAATATATTGGTCAAGTTTTTAGCATGCGTTTAATTCATGATTGGTTCACAGAGTTTCATAATCTAATCATAAATAAATTGTTAAATTTCTTTGTTTCAATTTATTGTTAACTCTAACTTACAGTGTTAATTGTTTGAAAAAGTATTTATTCCTTAGATTAAAATTTTTCTTTCTTCTTTAAATACAAATTATCGGTAAAGAAAATATTATTACTTATAAATGTTGTATTTCGAGTTGACTTTTAATATTTTCTTATTAAATGTGAATTTTAAGTTTAGAGATAAGTTCATCCTACATTTGAGCAAACATTTAAGTTTCAAGTCTCTAAATATTCCATAAGTTAGAAAATATGTATATTCTTAAATGAATAAGTTAAGTGCTCATTGATTATATAGAGTTGAATTAGAAGATAATCATATGTATTTCTTCATGTCTTACTTTCTTTCGATCATGAATATTTATTTAGCTTGAGAATTTACATTCTAATGATTGCAATTCTTATTATCATTATTGTTATATGTATATTTAATTACAATTGAAATTTTTTGATTTACTTTATTTTTTATGTACCTTTTTTTAAATATTGGTGCTTAAAATTAAAAGAAAAAAATTGATTTTTTAATATATATTTTTTTAATTTAAAATTATTATTATTATTATTATTTAATTATTTTATGCAGAAAGTATAAAAAGCAAGATGTCGCAACCTACTGGCTTTACCCATTGGTGCTATCGTTGTAACCTTCGCTTTGCTGGCCAAGGCCAGTTACCTATTTGCCCTGGTTGCAATGGTAGATTCGTAATGCGACTTTCAGACCATGAAGCTAACTATTACATCCAGCTTTTCGAGCCACAGATTCGAGCTTTAACTTCTGATGATGGCACTAGAGGAAGGAGATCAAGGCTATCGGCTGCTATCAACGCTTTCGTGCGGAACATGATGGGTTTTCTAAATCCTGCAAACATACGCCTGCATAATGGTTCTGCTCGCTTCTTTCTTGGTCGTAATCATGACAATGGTAACACTAATCAAGCTAGAATTAATATTGGAGCGAATATTGATGATGGTCAAGAGTCTCTCACTATTGAGTACATTGTTCATATGATAATAAGGAATCGTGATCGGAGTGCCGCCTCTCCTCCAACACCTCAGGCCGTTATTGATGCAATGCCAGTTATTAAGATAAGCAACAAACATCTTGAGATTGACAAGTATTCCCATTGTCCGGTCTGTAAAGAGCCATTTGATCTGGGGATAGAGGCTAGGTTGATGCCCTGCAATCATGTCTATCATGAGAGTTGTATTCTTCCATGGTTGAGGATACACAATACTTGTCCTGTATGTCGATATGAGCTTCATGAGAATGGTGGTCGTCCAGCTAGGAATATGAGGGCCAACACCACTTTTGTTAGAGGAGGGAACAATAGTAGGCATGGTTGGAGGAGATTGTTTTCATGCGTGAGACCTTCTTTTGGTGCATCGAGTTCTAGTTCTTAATAAAAATGGTGGAAGCAATTGATCTGGCACCATCTAAAAGAATGTCGTTCGATAAATTATCTATGTAGATCGTTTATGAATTAAATATTTTATATTTAAACTATATTTATGCATGAAGAGTTTATAGTATCATGTGAATAACTGTTATATTTTTATCAAATTATTTTTCTCAAGTAGGTTTTAACTTTTATGTATGAAAAAATCTGTGCCTATTCTATAACTGTCTAAATTCCTATTTGCAAAAAATAAAATCTCATCATTACATCTTATTCCTTGCCCTAATTAAGATTATACAAAAAAAATTATACTTATAACTAACAAGATCCTAAACAAAGAAAAACAATAACTATTTGTCCCACAAGACTTTAAACTAAATACTATGAAAAATTTAACTCAATTTAATTTCTTTAAACACAAATAACTAAATAAACTCTACATTTCTATTATTAATTTTAAAATAAATTAATTTAATTTTTAAAAGAAACAAATATATAATAATTTTTAACAAAATATTTATAGTAAAAAATATAATTTCAAGTTTTTTTTTTTGAGGAAATGCAATTAAGTGGACATTTAGCATAACTGTAATTTATATATGAATTTTAAGAATATTGTTAATAAAAAATATTGTTAATCTCAGCAACTGAGATTACCAGCCTTCTACACAAATTTATTTTGACTTTTCATTGTCATTTCTGGAATTACAACACCTGAACTTCTGCACCACAGCAGCAGAACTCCTGTTACCAGTTAACATATACAACACCCAGAAGGGATTTAGGTTTTCTAAAAGGCAAAAGATCAAAACTTTAACCAGCCTCATCATTTACACAGAGGCCATGAGTTCAGATTTGCAGCCTACCATCTATCTGAATTTACCCACAAGAACAAGGCCGTAAAGTTATACAAACTTTCACCGGTTTCTATAAACAGGTATTGTTGGACTCAACTTTTTCAGGTAAAAATAAATAACGGAAGCGTGAATCGAAGGGAAAAATGCCACAGTTTCGAGAACCAAGGAGGCTTTGCCGTCTTTGTGATATGCAGTGCTCAACAAATGCAGCTTGATTTGGTGGAAGGTAATGGGATATCCACACAGCTAAATCTGTATCATCCACAAAGCTTTTGGCAAAGCAGTGAAGCATTTTTGGCACCAATAGCTTCCCTTTCCGGCTAATCCCAACAGAAGCTTGAATGAAATCATGCTGAGATTCTTCTAGCTCCATCCTCACATTTTTGGCAGTGTAGATTTTCACCTGCAAATGCATGCTCCTAATATGTTATTAACCAATACAAGGCAAAAAATGTTACCATGTCCTTTGTATAATTCAAAGAATGTTGAAATTTACCGCAGGTGATGAATACATCCCACAACTGAGGGCAAAAGCTACAAGCGGTTCATATGCATTAATTGTAGCCTTCCGTTGTTCGTCTGATAACTTTAGTTTGTGAATGGCAAGAAGCAATGCCTGATGACAGTTTTGAATGAGGAGTTTAATCAGACAGAAAAAGGGGAAGAATAAAGTGAAGAACAATTAAAATATTAAGAGGAAGTTCATACAATTTGCGGCCTGTGAACAGGTGGTTTCATCTTCAGGATTACATATTCAATAGCAGCAGCACTAAAAGAATGCCCCCCAACAGTGTACGCTGCCTGAGAAACAAAAGAAAAAGTAGAAGTTTCACAACAATGATTCTCTAACAATAAAGTTTTGTACAAAATTATAAACATTAGAAATAGCATTTTTTTATTCGTGAAATAGAATTTATATGATGCATGTAAAGAATTCTAGAATAAGGATGAGATGTCGTGTTTTATAGAGAAGTAATCATGTTTTACATATATATGATGCATGTTAAGTATTTGATTCT